TTTTTTTTTTTTTTTGAGACAGAGTCTTTGTAGTGTATGCTGGCCTTGAACTCACTAGCCCAGGCTGGCCTCAAACTCGGGGTAACCCTACTTCAGCCTCGCGGGTGGTGTGATTATGGGCATGCACCGCCACACCCAGTTACCAGATAGGTTTTTAGCACTTGACCTATCTAAGGGTCTTGAATATATAGAGGTAGGTGCTATCTTTGTCATTTCTCAGGAATTTGGGCACTGCACTCTAAAAACAGAATAATTTGATTATTATTTTGTGAATCTGTTAATGTCAACAGTGTTACAAGTCCCATTTGTACTCATCCCCTCCATTATAAAGAACTGATGCAGAAACTGCCAAGAAATACCCTATGGACATGAGTTATTTGCTCTGTTCTTATCCTCTCCCACCCTTCCACAGTCCCTGCTTGCTGTGGTGTTTGGACCTGTCCTGTAAAGTATAGCCATGTCACTTAGCTTAATTTAATTAAAACTAAATATAATGTAAACTTCAGTTCTTCATTCACACTTGCCACGGCTCAGGTGCCTACCAAACTTTTCTGGTAAAGTTTAGATGGTTCCAGTGAGTCCCATGGGACAGCCCTGGTCAGTTTAACCCACAGCAGCAAACTAGAAGCAGATGGGTAGTTATGACTCTGTGGCACCAGGAATGTGAATGAGAGCGGTTTCCAGCATTTTCTCTGCTCCCCTCTGCCTTCAGGGATCTTTTCAACGCTGCATTTGTGTCCTGCTGGTCAGAACTAAATGAAGACCAGCAGGATGAGCTCATCAGAAGCATCGAATTGGCCCTCACCTCTCAAGATATTGCCGAAGTCACGCAAACCCTCTTGAACTTGGCTGAATTCATGGAACATAGTGACAAGGTGAGACTCTTCCCCTTTGTCCAGATGGAGGCTGACAAGGAACCAGCTGGTGGGAGGGGAAAAGCAGCCGCACAGCCCACTCTTGTTTGTGCCCCATCTGCCACTTTCCTAGGCTGTGGTGTTCTGCTCTCCTCTAGGGGCCCTTGCCATTGAGAGATGACAATGGCATTGTCCTGCTGGGTGAGAGAGCTGCCAAGTGCCGCGCATATGCCAAAGCACTGCACTACAAAGAACTGGAGTTCCAGAAAGGTCCCACCCCTGCCATCCTTGAGTCCCTCATCAGGTAGGCCTGAACTCTTTTTGTCTTCTGTGTTATCCAAAATGGGCTCTCTCCTTCCACTGCATTGCTTAGAGACTTCTGCTGTGTGAAACCTGCCACCAGGCCTGGCCAGCACTTTGAAATGACATGTGGTTGCAGATGGCCCTCTCTAGTAGTCTGGCCATAATTGTTACTTCTGCTGACCCCTCGGACTCAGACTGTCCCTGTTTTCCAGCCTGTGCCTTCTTGTTCCAGTGATACTTGCCCAGAAGTAGAGCAAGCCTCCCAGCACGGGAACCTTGCCATCTGAGTGAGGTGGCGCTCTCGGCAGGATTAGGTTGTCCTGGCAACTAAGCCTGTTAGTGCCTTGGTCTTCCTTTGGAGTTCTGGAGAGCAAAGGCTGAGATCTGGAGTCTTTTCCCTGGATTTGGTTGTATTTGGACCTCTCATAAGCTGCCTTTGAGTCTTCTGGGTATGGGATAAAGAAATTGTTTAATAAATTTTCTGCTGTTGTGAGATTTCAGACAGCCCCAAACATTAGCTTCAGCTCACAGAAAACTGTTCTTTTTCCCTAATGATTATCAGAGGATATTAACTCAGAATCTAATTATCTTCATGAAAATGCTGACACAATCGATCAATTCATTGCAGATCCCTTGGGAAGAACCAGCTGCTAATAAGCTCCTCTGTTGGCTTGTAGAGCCTGCTGAGCGTGGTCCTTTATTTGAGTAGATAATTAAATAACCATATTCTCTGCTGGTTCCACCTGTGAACAGATGCTGAAAAGTGTGCTTCCTAACAAGTGACCCGGAAGGGAGCGGTGGAATCAGGTTTATGCCTAAACACATCAGTGTTGAAGAGCACTGATTGCAAACTGCCATGCACAGACAGTTGTGCACACCACCGAAGCATGCCTCAGTGTCATAGTAAGATGCAGCAAGGGTGGGGAAACCCCGTTTCTTCCTCCTATCCCTGGCTTAGGCACCACAAGCTCATGTGATAAGTAATAGGAATGATGCTAACTCAAAACACACATATCGCTGGCGCATAACTAGTCTTACGTAGTATCCTTGCTGACCCTGTTCTGTTTGAGACCTATCACCTAAAACCTCCCCTTGCCCACAGCTCGTTTTCTCCATATTTGGGACAGTCTTAGAAGCATTAAAGTTAATGCAGATTCATTACTAGATAGAGTTACAGGCTTAGAAAAGCCCTCAAAAATGTCAGTCTTAAGCCAATATAATTGATAATAAATCCTCAAAATTCCCTGCAAGCCCCAAATGTGGTAGCACACGCCTGTGTCCCAGCATTCGGAAGGATGAGGCTGGAGGATCCTTGAGAGTTTCAGGCTGGCCTGGGCTGCATAAAAAAAACGTATCTAAGAAATCTAGACCAAAACAAAACAAAATTCCCTGCAAGTCAATTGTGGCTATTAAAAAAAAAAAAAAACAGGGAGATGGCTCACTAGAATAAGTGCTTGCCTGGCAAGCGCAAGAACTTGAGTTCAATCCCTGGTTCCAAAAAAAAAAACACAAAAACCTCCGTTTGGGAAAGTCCTCTCTGTAATCCCCTAAGGCCCAGTCAGCTGGTTCACCTCGATGCACTGTCAGAAGGGGCACAGCCTGGCAACTCTCCCAGCTTTCACACCCTGAGGTGATACAGCTGAGAGCCACTGCTTTGGTCCAGTGTTGGGAATGTGTTTTTAGTCATAGATTCAATTCCTCATAGCAGCTTCTGGAGAGCTCATAGCTAAAGTTCTGTGCCTCCTCATAAGTTACAGACAGGGTGCCTGTTGTGATTCTCAAACTTCCCCACTGTATTATTTCATTTTTCCTATCCTTACGTTCCCTTTATGACTTTTATATAATAATCTCTTAGAGATTATTATATGAGCTTATTATATTTAAAACAACTGCCTTAATTTCTTTTTGAAACAATGGAGTACTCCCTACAGAAAAGCATCCTTGAATAGCTACTTCTCATTTTTTATTTTTGTTTTTAAAAATTGTGTGCTCTGCTGACAATATTGTTCTGTTGCTGCTGATTCAGTACACCTGTCTTATTGCCTTATTTACCTGTCTGCTCCGGGATAAGTGAAATCCCACATTATACCCAAACAGGCCCAACACTGTATAAAGAGTGCCATTGTCCTCACAGCTCACAGGCATCATCAGCACAATTGCGTCCTTAGGGGAGAGTGGATTGAGGGGTTGGATTATTAGGAAATACACATACCTCAAAACTGCGTGATTTCCGCCTGGTCAGCCAGAGGCCCGCTGGACTCTTCTTCCACCCCAAGTATAATGCAGGGTCTGATTAGAGGTGAATGTTTTCACTGCCTAGCCCCTGACATGTAATCACCTTTTAAAAAATTGTTTCTGATTGAGACTGAAAAACTAAAACTAAATCTAGGGGCCAGTGCTGAGCAGGTGCACATGCCTGTCGGGCTACCTGTCAGCGTCTTCTGGGCAGTACTGTGCGTTTGTGTGCCTCCTTCACAAGGGGATCTTAACTGTTCTGCCCTAGTCAGAACAGTTCTTTGCCTTTAGGGGCAGGACCAAGCTCTGCTTCTGATTCCTGATGATGCTGTGCTTTCTCAGCTCAGAGTTATGAGCCAGATCCTTAGTGTCCATCATCAGGCTGCACCAGGACAGGTGCTTGGAAACAGGTGCTGCAGGGTCCACACTACTGCACAGAGTGGCTGGGATGTTCTGTGCATTCTCTGACAGCTGCTTTCCTTTCTCCCTCTTCCCTTTGCTTTGAAAAGTTTCTTCTAAAATACTGTTTATATGAGCTGTTTTCTATAATCCCTGCTGCTTGGGAGGCTGAGGCAAGAGGATCATGGGCTTGAGGCCAGCTTGGTCAGCGTAACAAGATCAAAATAAAAACTAGGGGCCAGGGAGATAGCTCAGTAGAATAAGTGCTTGCCTGGCAAGCACAGGGTCCTGAGTTCAATCCCTGGTTCCACAAAAAAATAAATAAATAAATAATAATAATAATAAAACTAAAAAGGCTTGGGCACCAGGCATAATGGCACACGCCTATAATCCCAGCATTTGGGAGCTGAGGCAGGAAGATCACCATGAGTTGGAGCCAGCCTGCACTGCATAGGAAAACCCTGTCTCAAAGCAAAACAAAATGAAAAAAGAGCTGGAGGCATAGCTCAGTGGTAGACCACTGGCTTTCTCCAGCACCCCAGAAAGGTGAGGGGGTGAAGAAGACCACAAAGGCTGATTTGAATTAAAAGCCTCTCAGGAGGGGCCGGGAGATGGCTCAGTGGAATAAGCGCTTCCCTGGCAAGCGCGAGGGCCTGAGTTCAATCCCTGGTTCCCCCCACCCCCCCAAAAAAAAAAAGCCTCTCAGGAGATGAGAAAGATTAGCTATATCTGCCATAGGCTTCTCTCTCCCCAACTTTAAGCCATTCTTTGTGTCCATTCCTCCTAGCAGTGTGGAGTGAGTCCCCAGTTGACCTCCTGCATGAGAAAGCTTCTGTGACTATCTTTCTGTGGAAAGCCTGACTCCAGTGTAGTTCTTTTTAGTCACTTTATTTCCTTGAAACCCTTCAGGTCCTTGTTTTTAAGCTGAAGTAGGTTCCCAACAACCAAGGGGCTGTTGGCATAATAGAAAATGAAGAGGAAGGGGCCAGGGAGATGGCTCAGTGGAATAAGCACTTCCCTGGCAAGTGCAAAGGCCTGAGTTCAATCCCTGGTTCTGCAAAAAAAAAAAAAAAAAAAGAAAGAAAGAAAATGAAGAGGAAGCTTACTTTACACTGATGGGTGTGTGTGTGTGTGTGTACTTCCAAAGGTCAGAACTATTTGACATCTCGTGTTAAAAATAATCATCTTTGTTTTTAAGTAGAAAATAAGATAATGTTTGCAAAGCATTTTAAAACTATGCAGCGGGGGGGCTGGGGAGATGGCTCAGTGGAATAAGTGCTTCCTTGGCAAGCGCAAGGGTCTGAGTTCAATCCCCGGTTCCGGAAAATAAATAAATGAATAGATAAATAAATAAATAAATAAAATTAAACTATGCAGTATCAGTGGCCTGCATGGGCTTAGTGAGTGGCCCAGGATCTGGTCCTTCCCCAAGGCCATTCCCCTTATGTCGCTCTTCTTTTTGGGGGGCGTCCTGTTCCTCCTTTCTGTCCTTGAATCCTGAAACAAGCTCAGTCTCCTCACTATAGGCTCACCTTTTTTTTTTTTTTTATCTTTTTACCACACTCTAAGTGGTAATGAGAAGAATCAAAAAGAAAATACTCAATTTTTAAGTATGACTATACAAGGAACAGAGCTTTGAACATTTAAATCACATACTGCCATATTTTATTTTTACAAAGCAAAATGCTCATATACAGCACAAACTGTTAATCATGGTGCTATCTGTCTTAATTTTTCAGCCATTTTTTATAGACAAGATAAAAAAGAAGCTCTTTGGGCTCCTTTCTTTCAAAGTCAGTAAAAGCAGATGTTTTGACTGCCATGTTGGGTGTGAGTGCGTGCGTATGAGCCCCCCGCCCACCGCCCCTTGGTGGCCCTGGTGGCCCTGCTGCGCCTCGGTGCTGCTCCCTGGCCTGTGTTCCCCAGGATGCTCCAAGGGGCGGAGGGAGAGGTCCAGGGCCCTGGAGCCTCGGCAGCAGACTTCCAAAGCTCATCTCCAGCCCAACAGCTTTTGTGTTTTTAAAAAATGTGCAGGCTGAAGATGATTCGTTTGATTTAAAAACAGAATCTGTTCTCTGCTACCACCTACTTCTGCTTCTTTCTGTAACACTGAAGGCCTCACCTCTGCAGACCAGAATAGTACAGTCCTTTCTAGCAAAGGGGTTTGCTGTTTGCCTCACATAACTTAGAAAAAAAATGAATAAACAGTTGCTTTGTCGGGGGTGGGGGCAGAGTGAGCCCACTCAGCCCAGCCCCTGAGCAGTATGTGGCAGGAACTGCTGGGTTAAGTGCTTCATCCCATTTACGGCCATCTCGGTACACAGTCTTATTGTGCACATGTGCTGGCTTTGGCAGTGCACATATTAAAATCTTTTATGCTTCTCAGAGTTCTTCCCTCCGTGGAGCTCGCAGGCCCTTGGCCACGCTGCCCCTTCCGCAGCCTCCCTGTCCCACACTGCCCTCCGAGTCTCCGAGTCTGCTGCAGCCCTGCTCTGCAGCAGCCTCCTCTCAGGGCCTGAAGCCTTCTGGGCGTATTTTCATCTCCACCCGTTTGAGGGAATAGTTGGCACCGTGCCAGCCGTACCAAGTGATGCCATCCAGGTGCTGCTTGTGGTCGCCCTGGCGGTAGTACACCCCGTTGAGGTTGGAGTCCGTGCAGCAGTTGTACCAGTACCCACCTGGCGGGAGAAACACATCAGGGCTGGTAAGTAAGCTGAGGGCGCCCGCTGCTCCAAGTAGCTGCTTGGCGGCAGGGAAACGGCCACAGCAGGGAGGATGCCGGCTGGGTGGTCCTGATTGCCACCATAAGCTGCTTACACTGTCTCCCTCCCATGCGGTCTCACCTTTGCGGAGCTGTGCACACTTATCCAAGCAGTTGTCATTGTCCTTGTCCTTGGTGCTGAAGGCTGTGTTGTTGTGGTAGAAGAGGGCGTTGTTCCCCACATCACCACTGTAGTTCCCCAGGAAGAGGCGGTAGCTGTTCACTTCATTGGCCACAGCAAAGTGGCTGTACTCAGCATAGCGTACCTCGCCCTCCCAGTCCTGGCAGAGAAATAGAGCCTTAGGAAGCTACGAGAGGGCTTCGTATCACATGCCTGGACCCCTCCTCATCCAGACCCCCAGCTGTACAGATGGAAAATATTAGGGTGTTATTGCTTGTTGCCCCAGCTTGCCATATTAGCTGGGAATAGGCACACAAGGTCCTCATCAGACTTTTCTTTGTATTAGCCATGTAACTTTGATTTATCTTTCTATGTTCCTCACTTCCCTGTCTGAAGGTGTGGGGAGGGGTTTTTGTTGAGACCCCCTCAGAAATAGGAGAAAAAAATCCAAAAGCTTCTTTCTCATCTTTGCTGCAACCTAGAGCAACCCCAGAGTGAATATACAGGCAGATCTATAGTACATAGGCTAGGGATGGCATCCACGGAGCCCTGTGCTGTCACATGCAGCAGACCTGAGCTGATTTGGGGGCCCTAGGCCTCAAGCTCACCTCCAGTTCCACACGGAGCCGGGTTGGCTGTCTGGTGAGCCGGTGGATGTGTTCGTTACCCAACCAGAAGTCTCCACGGATGCTACCAAAGCCCTGCTTATACTGCTTCCAGTCCTGGTAGAAGGGGACAAGGCCGCTCCTCCGTCTCTGGATGACAGTCCAGCCTCCTCCTGAAGTCTCCATATCACAGAACACCTGGAGCAAGAAGAGTGCTCCGGTCAGGCCTTGCAGGGCACGAGGCAAGGGCTTGAGGACAGGTGTCTCCTGTCTGCACAGGGCAGTGGTATGTGTGCTCCTGAGTCACCCTGGGTCGCTAAAGCAGCAGTGTGGCTGCCAGTATTGGAGAGCTGGGGCCCATTGATGTGCTTAGGAAGAACTGGCCAAACTGGAGATGGGGGAAATACACATAATACAGCTTGAAGGGGGCCATCGGGTATTTCCAATATGCCCTCTTCACATTCCTTCTGCACCTTCCCCAGAGAATAGCTGCTCTAGGACATTGCCAAACAATTAAACTAGTGATGTGGTGGTGATAAGAATTATCTACTCTGTTAGAAAGCTTGGTGATTGATAACGATTTGATTTGAAGGGACCAAACAGATGCCCAGCTTTGAGGAGTAAGGAACCATAAACTGAATGTTTGCATAACTCCTCGTAGTGTCCCTTTCTGTAGACCATGACTAGCTAGTCCTGGTGTCCTCATGCCTTGAGGGGTGGAGTGTGGTCAGCAGAGCACAGGCACTGTGTGGGCTGCAGTGAGCTCACCTCCAGCTCGGGGCTGCCCAGGAATTCGTCTGGGGGAAGCTTGTACACCCCAGAGATGTGGTAGTTCTTCTGGTAGAGGGAAGAGCAATCGTAGATGGCATCTGCAAACAGAGCATACACAGGATGAGCGGAGACTCCACATCTGCACTGGACAGCTAAAGACAGACCTCCTCTCTACCCTGGGACTCCCCGGGTGTTAACCCCAGGCAGTCTCTCAATTTGGAGAAATGGGCCCAGGGAGATCAAATGGGGACACGTTTGGGCTTCTCTAGTGGTGGGGCAGAAGGCAGGGGAGCCCTTCCTCTGGACAGTGGACAAACAGGTAGTTGAGTCAAAATAAATCAGCCTGCTGTAGTTCTCAGCTGTGACTTCTAGAAGTGGCCTGGTATGTGAGGGACACCCACATTATACATGCCCCTGAGAAGCTTCAGGCTTCTTGGACAGTTGCCTCCATTACAGGACCAGTCTGAGGATCTCAGGAGCCTGGTTTGTTGCTGTTTCTAGGTTTCTGTTGTCTCTCAGAAGTAATGGCTACTGCCAGCTAGCGCCCTAATTAAAGGAGATAAATACGGCAATCTTATCTTGCCTCTGCCCTAATCTAACAGTACTAGGTCTTCAAACCAAAAAAGGGAAGAACTTTTTGATGTCTTTCCCTGAAATACAGAAACGAGATTTTTCCAGGTTTCTCCTAGAGATTGATTTAAATACTTTCTTGGCTGCCCTTGGGGCTACTGCTGTATGCTAGGTTCTCCCTATACTGAATATCAAACGAGGCTGTAAAAGAAATAGCCCTTTCCAGGAGGAGTTAGAAAACAAATTCTTCTGGTCTAGGAGATGCCTTATGCCCTCCCTGCCTTAGAATTTTTTCCTTGGTGACCAGTAGTCTGGAGTCTTAGAGAAAAGCACAAGGATGGCAGAGGGTAACGGCCACCATGAAAGTCGTCCAAAGTGCCTCAGTTCCGGCTCAGAGCATGTTGGGGAAAGGGAGTGGGGAACACTCGTCGTTAGCCTCCGGGTTCTGCAGGGCCTGCATGGTGAAAGTCTCAGCTCACTGCTCACTCTCACAGGCAGCCCACTTAGAGAGTATAGAGATGACCCAGTCCCGGGCACAGGGAAGAGAAGCAAGAAACAGTACCCTGGGCAAGGAGAGTGAGAGCATGGGCAGGAGGGCCACATCTACCCCCGGAGCCTCCCTCCAGGACCATGAGAAGGTGCCCTGTGAAGAGGTGCTGGAGGTGGCACAGCCAGATCTCTCCGTCTGTCCTGGCCTTGTGCGTGTCTGGTTTCATCTTAAGGCCAATTCAGGATTCATTTGTCCTGGAATGGCCCAAGAGTACCTTTCTTCTTCACTTGAACTGAAGCAACCAACAACTCACTCCTTAGAAACTGGTTGTGCCTTTGCTCTTGACTTGTTTTATATAACATAGCCAAGGATTTTTAGCATTAGCAAGAAATGACAGATCTATAGGATATGTCATTCAACTAATTTCTTGATAATTTCAGAAGATCACATGTATTTCTGAGCCAAATACACATCACCCCATCGGTGCCAAGCTAACCAGCAACTGAAAGTTATTTTGCAAAAGAAAACATTAGATATATGTTGGTTTTGGCCACTTAAAAAAAGCCATATTTCAGCATTGCATTTACTTACTTATATTTCTTGGGAGAATTTCACTTGACCCCCCAGGGAAAATGGAAATATCAGACTGATCCTGCAGGAGCCTATCTTTTCCTGAACACAAAGGACTTTCTCTGATGGCCGTGGGCAGTGACTGTCTACACCCTGTTCTCACTAGTAAGAGTTTGGTTTTCAGAGACAGGACACAAAATCCCAGAATGCCCATTCCTGCCACATTTTAAGAACACCAGAGAACCGTTTTTGGACAAAACTTTGGGAGCAGAGCAACAGATGTCATGGTTTGGTGACCATTCTTATTTGCAGTTAGGAGTTCAGTCCATCAGCTCTTGGTAAGGAATCAGCATGGCCACACCAACCGGAAAGATGTGAATCGCGCCTCTGTGACTTGCTTGTGACTCTGGGCAAACCGTTAATTGCTTAGTGCCCCACAGTGGGAATCCATGTCTTCCTAATTTGTTGAAACATTGTGTGAATCTGAGGAGGTACTAGGCAAAATTACAGAACATCAAAAAAGATAGCCTTTGGTAAAAAGAATGGACACCCAAAGGAGCCCCCAGAACTGTTCTGGGGAGCAGGTAATGTGAAGCAGTGCCACGGACAGGGAGGCCTTCGGCCGTCCGCCAGGAGCCAGAGTGGTGTGCCGACCGCGTGCCTTACCTGCGGAGGTCTGCGTGACAGTCTGCGCCGCCTGCAGCTGCATGATGTCCATCTGGTTGTTCATCTCCGAGTACTTGCTCTCGGCGTCCACGAGCCGCGACTCCAGGCGCTTGCTGGTGCTCTCCAGCTCCATCACCTGCATGACCACGCTCACCCAGTCCCTCTCCTGCTTCTGGCTCAGCTCACTCAGCAGACCACTTAGGTTGGCCACTTGGGCCTTGAGCTCCTTCACCTCCTTGCAGCAGGCATCCACTTGGACCTGTGCAGGTGCCTTGCGCTTAGGGGGCTTTTGCAGCCACACTGGATGGGTGACAAAGGCCACAATGAAAATGCTGAGCCAGGTCACAGGGAAGAGAGTCTTTGTCAGCATTTTCCGTGGGTCTGGGTGAGGAGGATCTTCCTTTAGTGGAGTCTGGCTGTGCCTAGCACAGGTCTGCGGAGCTGTGGCAAGCTCTACTCACTCTGGATGGCCTCTCGCACTGCTGTTTTCTCTCTTTTCTTACTCTTCCTTAGCCTTCCTCAAAGCTTGAGCTTCTGAAAGTGGAGCCTAATGGATGCCCTGTCACTTTGCTTCTCAAGCGTAAGTGCTCTACCAAGACAGCATCTTAAATATTGTCTGTGCTTGCACCTCCGCCCCTGCCATGGCCCTGCACATGGCTTTCGCCCCTCCTACCTCCTCTGGGAGGGTCAGGTGCCTGTTGGGTGAAGTCAGCATAAACTTTGGCCAGAGGAGGGGAGGAGGGAGACAGGGCAGCTTTATTTCTCCTTGCCTGCTCAGTCTCTGAGCTGAGACAAGAGGACTGTGAATTTGTGTTTCCAGTTTTGCCTGTTAGATTATGTGCCTGCCAGCTACTGGCTTGGCTCTGTCAGCAAGCAGGGAGGGTCACAGGAATTTCCAAACCCCATCCTAAAGGTTATATAACTGTGGGGTGAAGGTGAGGTGGGGAAGGGAACACTAGGAATAAGGAGACCCACGGAGGAAGACCTGTTAATGTAAGGCGTGCTGTTTATACAAGCCTCTGATAATATTTTGGCATCCTGTTGAATGTGCTTTTCAGTAGGCTGCATAGTCCTTTCTCTGGTCACCATTCAGTGTTTTACAAGATCCTTATTCAACCTGGATCTTACTTGATCTCATATTTGAAATTTTCCTGCCTAGAAAAGTTCTACTAATAGGAAGGTAGTAAGTCTCTTAGGAAGCTAGAAGTGGAATCATGGGGTTTACATAGTCATCTGTCTTTTTACATGCTGTCTCCTTCCACAAAGAGCAGGCCAACAGTAGCTTTACACATTTGATATTTTGCAAGGAGGTGTCAGAAGATTGCAGAAGAGATGAAAGCCCAGCCATGCAGGTCTAGGCCTGGCTCCCCACATTTTGTCTGTATCTGTGTAGAACAGAGAGCCAGCCTACCCTTGGCCCATGGTCTTAACTTGCGATGCGTACATGTTAAAGCATGGAGAAAAGAAAAGGCTCCATGTCACCAAGTCTATATCAAGAGTTATATTGCCTCTTTGCATGCAATTTGAAATTAGTCTCCTTCTACCTACTGTGACTTTGTATCTAAAAACAGGGCTGTTGCAATTTGTCATATACCCTGTTTGACAGACTCTACTACTTTGAAAACAAATGTAAAAACATGGAATTTCAGCAGCCATTCTGAAAATAAGCTTCTCACTGAGACTGTACACAACGTTCTCTGAGTCCTGAAATGGAGGCTACCTCTAGAGTGTGTGCTTGCTGTTTCCTGGGGGGCCACTGGGGCAAGGCCTGTCTGTTGACATCTAGCGTGGGCCCTGCCTACGCAAGCCTGGCGTCCAGCAGCTCTTCCCGGCTCTAATCCCCCAGAGCCTTTTTCCAGTCAAGGCCTCTGGCTCCTTGGAAAGGGATTGCTGTTCAGACATCTGGAATTGCCAAATAATTTTTTGTTTTTCAGTAGAAAGTAGGAGGGGTTTGGGTGGACCAGGGTTTGTTTCTTTACCATCCCTCATTTCTTCTGCCTCCTAGGGGGTAAGGATAATGTTGGCACCCAGCAGCAGCTTGTCATTCTGCTCAGAGACTGTTCAGAGTTGCACGGCCTCTGGGTCCGTGCTCTCTTTTGGCCATCGTTGACTCCATGGAGTTGATTCAGTAAGGAGAACCAAGCCCTGATGGTTAGCATCCTATGAACTCCATGGAGATCTTTACAGTACTTAAACTAAACTGTAGGCCAAAGTACCACACACGGACCATGTAGACATGTAGAGTGGCTCACGGAACCCAGGGACTCCTGGAGCTCTGGAGTCCCAGCCAGCTTCGTGCTTGGCCTTCCCAGCAGCCACTTTGCTCACCCAGAAAGGAACGTGCTGTGAGTCAGTTTTCATATTTGGCAGAAAATAAGTCACTCATATTTGAAACCCATGTCACATCAGTTTTAGGAAAAGTGGGAGAGTGTTCATGAGTTTGAATCAGAAGCATCTAGTTTTCAGCATGAGTGTCTGGTCTTTGACATTTATTTTCTGGGAGTTTATTTCTAACATAAAGGATAACTTGGAGAGAGAAGCTTTTCTATTTGAAGATTTTATTATTTATGCTGACCAAATGTCAATAAATCTCTCCAAGTTCTGAGAAAAATAACAATTAAGGGTATGTCCCATGCTAGAATATTACTTGATTTCTAAAACACCCACAACTCTGATGTCCTGGATTCTAATTTCTAAAAGGAAGAGCCAGCTCTTGTTTTAGGTATAGTTGAGCCCCAAAGATATCATGAAGTACCCAGGGGACTCTGGTGGTTTCCTTCTCCAAAGCTTCTGATCCCTTCTGCCTTTCAGTGAGCAGAGTGCCCATGAAAATTGGAATTAATTAGCAGGCACAGTGGCACACGCCTGTAACCCCAGCACTCAGGAGGCTAAGGCAGGAGGATCACTGTGAGTTTGAGGCCAGCATGGCTACATAGTTCAAGTTCAGCCTGAACTGCACAGCAAGACTGTGAAAGCAGAGGCCCCGTCTGCTTACGGCACCACTCCGCCTCACACTCAGCCCAAAGTCCAACTCAGAATACTTGAACTGACTTGAGTAAAGGGTGAACTCCAAAGGGAAAGTTTTCTTTCTCCAGATTCCTATTCTGGAGACTTACAGGAGTCTCTCCACGGTAACTTCCAATCTTTTTATCATGGGATGTTCATTCCTGCTTTAACTCCATTATTTATTGGTGTTAGTCACAGAATCAAAGAAAGTGGGAACAGGAAGAGTTCAGATCATCGGTTAGTGCTCTTTTAAATCAGTAACTCGTGCTTCACTCCTCACTCCTTACTTGTGAAGATTAACGAACAGACTGCAGAGCGTTTCAGGGAGGCTCAGCCCTGCTCCTACTCAGGCTTATAGATGCGCCATACCTGATTACTCCAGCCTGCGTCAGCCTGGGGACCCATGTGCAGCTAATAATGTTGAAGAAAGGACAAAGAAAGTGACGTTTCCCCATAAAACAGCCTTATCCCTAGGCAGTGATATTGGCCATAATTTATCCAGGAACCAGACACATCTTGTCTGACCCAAAGGGGAATCAGATGCCCATTACATTGCAGTTTCAGTAAATCACTCTTAGCCAGAGACAAGAATTCTATCAACAAGATTGCAGATCTGTGCCACAGCCGCCCCATGACCTGCAGGGCTTCTCTTTGGGCTGGACCACCATTCTGACTGAAACACTGCAAACTGGAAAACAGACCTGTCGTTCTTTAAGAATGTCAGAGGCTCCATGCCCTGTGTGCCCAAGCAACAAGTTAATGACAAGGGCAGCTGGGCTTCCCAGTCTACAGCCAAGGGGTGAGATGGGCGAATAGAGTCCACTCTGTGTCTTCACTGTAGACTCGTGCCTCCAGGGTGGCCATTTGTGCTGCTGGGAATATAGTTGTTTCCTGGCTTCCAGAGAAGGTATGTAGTCCTGTCTTCTTCCAACCTTGCTGGAACAAAAAGCCACTCAGAAAGGTAAGGGTTTTCTCTCCAAAGAGCACATTCCTACCCCTGGATCATGCTGACAGCAGAAGAGCCAGAGGGCCCCTAGGAACTTGTGGCCTTGTGAAAAAAAAAAAACCCAGGAAAGGCTGGGCTGGAGCTCAGGGGTAAGGTATGTGTTTAGTACCCGTTCAGTCCCCAGCACCAGAACCAAAGCTCCATGTAGTCAAGAGAGGGAGGACTGAGGACACCTGTGGAGTGGAAGCACAAGCCATGGGTTGTCTCTTTCAGGTCCTTTTAGGTTCAGCCCCTCAGCAGGTCAAGTCCCTCAGCGGTCATCAGGAGAGCATAACTTCACTTCTGACTGCTCTGGGCCCCCGCTTGGCTCACAGGCTCACAGTACACAGTGTGCCTCACACACTCCAGCACAGCATTTCCACGCAGAAAGCCAGCTGTCCACAAGGAACGGGAAGGGAACGCTCCTCTGTACAGTTCCAGGCCATGTCAAAGGAGGAAGCTGCTGTCATCAGTAGTAAACCTTCACTTTGCTTCCACCTCTAGAACATCTGCAGGAATGTCTTGAGATTTACTGGGACTGTTCTTGCAGTGCATTAGTGGAACTGCTTTGCTTTTTATGAAGTACTGGGGGAGGTGGGTGAAACAGCTGGCAATGAAACTGTTAGGGAGCTTTGCAACCTTTCAGTGTGTTCTGCATCCTAATTTTAGGGCTATTCAAGAATGAAGAGTGCATCTTTTCTTTTATATTTTTTAAATTTTAGGGAAGGGTCTACAGGGTGTTCAGGGCCTCACTACTAGATCAGACTTGTAGTGATCCGCCTGTTTACAGCCTCCCAAGAGCTGGGGTTACAGGCGTGCATCACCATGCCCAGTCTCAATTGCCGTCTCAGTGCACCCCGGGGGCAGGGCCAGCACGGCAGAAGAGTACATCTTAGAGTCAGTAAAATATAGCAAGTTCTGGGCTTTGCCTCCTGGTTGCCTGTGACATTCATCCCAGTGACAATGCCATGTGTCAGTGGTGACACCACTGGTCCCTCCACATTCTTCTGGACAGCTCATTGCCCATGAATCCTGGTAATCTAATTAGAATGTGTCACGCTTCTCTTCCATAAGCTTTTTCTGTACCAAGAAGGGAGGCATAATTTTTCTCTCCTCTGATCCCAGAGTGGGCATCAGTATTCGTACATTGTGGCCCAACTCCGTAACGGAGAGGCGGGCCCATTCACATCTGCTTATACAATTAGCTGTGGAGAGCTAGAAGCTGCCAGGTCAGTCAGTGCCAACTCATTTTTGTTTCTCAACTTCATCCTCATAATAGACTGAGTCAGAGCTCTTGAGTGTTCAGGAGCCAAGGAATGAAGATTTCTACCCAAAATACCCATTCTGCTTTGAGTCAAAGTAGATGAAAATTAGATTTGGGTTCAGTCTGTCAAGCTTCCCTCTTTTGTTCATTTTCCTGACAGCTTCTTCTTTCTAATAGTCTCTCCCAGAGCTCTTCATTCCACTCTGGATGTGGAGAAGCAGAAAGAGGGAGAAAAACCTCCAGGCATCACCAGAAGAGGAGCAGTGCTCATTGTTGTAGAATAAAAAGATAATGGCCAATTTGTCAAGAAGTGTTGACAAGAAAGATAAAGTTGGAAGTAATTAACTGGCTGACGTGCTGGGAGCGATAGTCTGCCGATAGCTCCCTAAATCAGCCAGA